AGGTGCGTGGGGCTCAATACAACGCAGAGATGGAGGTGCGCTTTGAGTCGACTCACAAGTGACGTGAGGCAGAGCGACAAGGGCACTGAGATGGAGAGGTGCGTGGGGCTCAATACAACGCAGAGATGGAGGTGCGCTTTGAGTCGACTCACAAGTGACGTGAGGCAGAGCGACAAGGGCACTGAGATGGAGAGGTGCGTGGGGCTCAATACAACACAGAGATGGAGGTGCGCTTTGAGTCGACTCACAAGTGACGTGAGGCAGAGCGACAAGGGCACTGAGATGGAGAGGTGCGTGGGGCTCAATACAACACAGAGATGGAGGTGCGCTTTGAGTCGACTCACAAGTGACGTGAGGCAGAGCGACAAGGGCACTGAGATGGAGAGGTGCGTGGGGCTCAATACAACACAGAGATGGAGGTGCGCTTTGAGTCGACTCACAAGTGACGTGAGGCAGAGCGACAAGGGCACTGAGATGGAGAGGTGCGTGGGGCTCAATACAACACAGAGATGGAGGTGCGCTTTGAGTCGACTCACAAGTGACGTGAGGCAGAGCGACAAGGGCACTGAGATGGAGAGGTGCGTGGGGCTCAATACAACACAGAGATGGAGGTGCGCTTTGAGTCGACTCACAAGTGACGTGAGGCAGAGCGACAAGGGCACTGAGATGGAGAGGTGCGTGGGGCTCAATACAACACAGAGATGGAGGTGCGCTTTGAGTCGACTCACAAGTCACGTGAGGCAGAGCGACAAGGGCACTGAGATGGAGAGGTGCGTGGGGCTCAATACAACACAGAGATGGAGGTGCGCTTTGAGTCGACTCACAAGTCACGTGAGGCAGAGCGACAAGGGCACTGAGATGGAGAGGTGCGTGGGGCTCAATACAACACAGAGATGGAGGTGCGCTTTGAGTCGACTCACAAGTGACGTGAGGCAGAGCGACAAGTGCACTGAGATGGAGAGGTGCGTGGGGCTCAATACAACACAGAGATGGAGGTGCGCTTTGAGTCGACTCACAAGTGACGTGAGGCAGAGCGACAAGGGCACTGAGATGGAGAGGTGCGTGGGGCTCAATACAACACAGAGATGGAGGTGCGCTTTGAGTCGACTCACAAGTGACGTGAGGCAGAGCGACAAGGGCACTGAGATGGAGAGGTGCGTGGGGCTCAATACAACACAGAGATGGAGGTGCGCTTTGAGTCGACTCACAAGTGACGTGAGGCAGAGCGACAAGGGCACTGAGATGGAGAGGTGCGTGGGGCTCAATACAGCACAGAGATGGAGGTGCGCTTTGAGTCGACTCACAAGTGACGTGAGGCAGAGCGACAAGGGCACTGAGATGGAGAGGTGCGTGGGGCTCAATACAGCACAGAGATGGAGGTGCGCTTTGAGTCGACTCACAAGTGACGTGAGGCAGAGCGACAAGGGCACTGAGATGGAGAGGTGCGTGGGGCTCAATACAGCACAGAGATGGAGGTGCGCTTTGAGTCGACTCACAAGTCACGTGAGGCAGAGCGACAAGGGCACTGAGATGGAGAGGTGCGTGGGGCTCAATACAACACAGAGATGGAGGTGCGCTTTGAGTCGACTCACAAGTCACGTGAGGCAGAGCGACAAGGGCAATGAGATGGAGAGGTGCGTGGGGCTAAATACAACACAGAGATGGAGGTGCGCTTTGAGTCGACTCACAAGTCACGTGAGGCAGAGCGACAAGGGCAATGAGATGGAGAGGTGCGTGGGGCTCAATACAACACAGAGATGGAGGTGCGCTTTGAGTCGACTCACAAGTCACGTGAGGCAGAGCGACAAGGGCACTGAGATGGAGAGGTGCGTGGGGCTCAATACAACACAGAGATGGAGGTGCGCTTTGAGTCGACTCACAAGTCACGTGAGGCAGAGCGACAAGGGCACTGAGATGGAGAGGTGCGTGGGGCTCAATACAACACAGAGATGGAGGTGCGCTTTGAGTCGACTCACAAGTCACGTGAGGCAGAGCGACAAGGGCACTGAGATGGAGAGGTGCGTGGGGCTCAATACAACACAGAGATGGAGGTGCGCTTTGAGTCGACTCACAAGTCACGTGAGGCAGAGCGACAAGGGCACTGAGATGGAGAGGTGCGTGGGGCTCAATACAGCACAGAGATGGAGGTGCGCTTTGAGTCGACTCACAAGTCACGTGAGGCAGAGCGACAAGGGCACTGAGATGGAGAGGTGCGTGGGGCTCAATACAACACAGAGATGGAGGTGCGCTTTGAGTCGACTCACAAGTCACGTGAGGCAGAGCGACAAGGGCACTGAGATGGAGAGGTGCGTGGGTCTCAATACAACACAGAGATGGAGGTGCGCTTTGAGTCGACTCACAAGTCACGTGAGGCAGAGCGACAAGGGCACTGAGATGGAGAGGTCCGTGGGGCTAAATACAACACAGAGATGGAGGTGCGCTTTGAGTCGACTCACAAGTCACGTGAGGCAGAGCGACAAGGGCAATGAGATGGAGAGGTCCGTGGGGCTCAATACAACACAGAGATGGAGGTGCGCTTTGAGTCGACTCACAAGTCACGTGAGGCAGAGCGACAAGGGCAATGAGATGGAGAGGTGCGTGGGGCTCAATACAACACAGAGATGGAGGTGCGCTTTGAGTCGACTCACAAGTCACGTGAGGCAGAGCGACAAGGGCACTGAGATGGAGAGGTGCGTGGGGCTCAATACAACACAGAGATGGAGGTGCGCTTTGAGTCGACTCACAAGTCACGTGAGGCAGAGCGACAAGGGCACTGAGATGGAGAGGTGCGTGGGGCTCAATACAACACAGAGATGGAGGTGCGCTTTGAGTCGACTCACAAGTCACGTGAGGCAGAGCGACAAGGGCACTGAGATGGAGAGGTGCGTGGGGCTCAATACAACACAGAGATGGAGGTGCGCTTTGAGTCGACTCACAAGTCACGTGAGGCAGAGCGACAAGGGCACTGAGATGGAGAGGTGCGTGGGGCTCAATACAACACAGAGATGGAGGTGCGCTTTGAGTCGACTCACAAGTCACGTGAGACAGAGCGACAAGGGCACTGAGATGGAGAGGTGCGTGGGGCTCAATACGACACAGAGATGGAGGTGCGCTTTGAGTCGACTCACAAGTCACGTGAGGCAGAGCGACTGGTAGGTGTATTTGAGCAAGGGCCACCCAAATATGCAACAACATTCAGGTTATTCGATGCTTCCCCCCACGCCTATAGGGATCCATGCGTTTCGTTACCATTTGTCGGCAGATACAGGCGTCATCTCAGGCGCCGAACTTATTGGTGCGCACAAACAAAGGTAAACTTGCTTTGGTAGGTGTATTTGAGCATGAGCCACCTGAATATGCAACAACATTCAGGTCATTCGATGCCTTTCCCTACGCCTATAAGGATCCATGCGCTTCGTTGCCATTTGTCGGCAAACACAGACGTCATCTCAGGCGCCGAACGTTTTGGTGCGCACAAACAAAGCTGAATTTGCTCAAGTCGATGTATTTGAGCGAGGAGGGCCACCCGAATATGCAACAACATTCAGGTCATTCGATTCTTTTCCCTACGCCTATAGGGATCCATGTGCTTCGTTACCATTTGTCGGCAGATACAGCCGTCATCGCAGGCGCCAAACTTTTTGGTGCGCACAGACAAAGCTGAACTTGCTCTGGTAGGTGTATTTGAGCGAGGGCCACCCGAATTTGCAACAACATTCAAGTCATTCGATGCTTTTCCCTATTCCAATAGGGATCCATGCGCTTCGTTACCATTTGTCGGCAGACACAGTCATCATCGCAAGCGCCAAACTTTTTGGTGCGCACAAACAAAGCTGAACTTGCTCTGGTAGGTGTATTTGAGCATGGGTCACCCGAATATGCAACAACATTCAGGTCATTCGATGCTTTCCCCTACGCCTATAGGGATCCATGCGCTTCGTTACCATTTGTCGGCAGACAGCCGTCATCGCAGGCGCCGAACTTTTTGGTGCGCACAAACAAAACTAAACTTGCTTTGGTAGGTGTATTTGAGCATGATCCACCCGAATATGCAACAACATTTAGGTCATTCGATGCTCTTCCCTGCGTCTATAGAGATCCATGCACTTCGTTACCATTTGTCGGCAGACACAACCGTCATCACAGGCGCCGAACTTTTTGGTGTGCACAAATAAAGCTAAACTTGCTTAGGTAGGTGTATTTGGGCATGGGCCACCCGAATATGCAACAACATTCAGGTAATTCGATGCCTTTCCCTACGCGTATAGGGATCCATGCGCTTCGTTACCATTTGTCGACAGACACAGCCGTCATCGCAGGCGTCGAACTTTTTGGTGCGCTCAAACAGAGCTGAACTTGCTCTGGTAGATGTATTTGAGCGAGGGCCACCCGAATTTGCAACAACATTCAAGTAATTTGATGCTTTTCCCTACACCTATAGGGATCCATGCGCTTCGTTACCATTTGTCGGCAGACACAGCCGTCATCGGAGGTGCCGAATTTTTTTGCGCGCACAAACAAAGTTGAACTTGCTCCGGTAGGTGTATTTGAGCGAGGGCCATTCAAATATGCCACAACATTCAGGCAATTGATGCTTTCCCCTACGCCTATAGGGATCCATGCGCTTTGTTACCATTTGTCGGCAGACACAGTCATCATCGCAGGCGCCGAACTTTTTGGAGCGCACAAACAAAGCTGAACTTGCTTTGATAGGTGTATTTGAGCGAGGGCCACCCAAATATGCAACAACATTCAGGTCATTCGATGCTCCCCCCTACGCCTATAGGGATCCACGCGCTTTGTTACCATTTGTCGGCTGAACAGCCGTCATCACAGGCGCCAAACTTTTTGGTGCGCACAAACAAAACTGAACTTGCTCTGGTCGGTGTACTTGAGCATGGGCCACCCGAATATGCAACAACATTCAGGTCATTCAATGCTTTCCCCTACGCCTGTAGGGGTCCATGCCCTTCGTTACCATTTGTCGGCAGACACAGCCGTCATCGGCTGAAAGCGGGAGAAAGGGGCGGAATGATGGAAAGAGGGAGAATGGGGTGGGGCAATGGAAAGAGGGAGAATGGGGGAGGGTAATGGAAAGTGGGAGAATGGGGCGGGGTGATGGAAAGAGGGAGAACAGGGTGGGGTGATGGAAAGCGGGAGAATGGGGCGGGGTGATGAAAAGCGGGAGAACGGGGCGGGGTGATAGAAAGCGGGAGAATGGGGCGGGTGATGGAAAGCAGGAGAATGGGGCGGGGTGATGGAAAGCGGGAGAACGGGGCGCGGTGATGGAAAGCAGGAGAATAGGGCGGGGTGATGGAAAGCGGGAGAATGGGGCGGGGTGATGGAAAGCGGGAGAATGGGTCGGGGTGATGGAAAGCGGGAGAATGGGGCGGGGTGATGGAAAGTGGGAGAATGTGGTGGGGTGATGGAAAGCGGGAAAATGGGGCGGGGTGATGGAAAGAGGGAGAATGGGGCGGGGTGATGGAGTGCGGGAGAATGGGGCGGGTGATGGAAAGCGGGAGAATGGAGCGGGGTGATGGAAAGCGGGAGAATGGGGCGGGGCGATGGAATGCGGGAGAATGGGGCGGGGCGATGGAAAACTGGAGAATGGGGCGGGGCGATGGAAAGCGGGAGAATGGGGCGGGGCGATTGAAAGAGGGAGAATGTGGCGGGGTGATGGAAAGAGGGAGAATGGGGCGGGGTGATGGAAAGAGGGAGAATGGGGCTGGGTGATGGAAAGCGGGAGAATGGGGCTGGGTGATGGAAAGCAGGTGAATGGGGCTGGGTGATGGAAAGCGGGAGAATGGGGCGGGGTGATGGAAAGCGGGAGAATGGGGCGGAGTGATGGAAAGCGGGAGAATGGGGTGGGGTGATGGAAAGCGGGTGAATGGGGCGGGGTGATGGAAAGCGGGAGAATGGGGCGGGGTGATGGAAAGCGGGAGAATGGGGCAGGGTGATGGAAAGAGGGAGAATGTGGCGGGGTGATAGAAAGAGGGAGAAGGGGGCGGGGTGGTGGAAAGCGGGAGAATGGGGCTGGGTGATGGAAAGCGGGAGAACAGGGCGGGGTGATGGAAAGAGGGAGAATGGGGCAGGGTGATGGAAAGCGGGAGATCGGGGCGGGGTGATGGAAAGCGGGAGAATGGGGCGGGGTGATGGAAAGCGGGAGAACGGGGCGGGGTGATGGAAAGCGGGAGAACGGGATGGAAAGTGGGAGAACGGGGCAGGGTGATGGAAAGCGGGAGAACGGGGCGGGATGATGGAAAGCGGGAGAACGGGGCGGGGTGATGGAAAGCGGGAGAACGGTGCGGGGTGATGGAAAGAGGAAGAATAGGGTGGGGTAATGGAAAGTGGGAGAATGGGGCGCGATGATGGAAAGAGGGAGAAATGGGTTGGGTGATGGAAAGAGGGAGAATAGGGCGGGGTGATGGAAATAGGTAGAATGGGGCGGGGTGATGGAAAGCGGGATAATGGGGCGGGGTGATGGAAAGCGAGAGAATGGGGCGAGGTGATGGAAAGCGAGAGAATGGGGCGGGTTGATGGAAAGTGGGAATAGCACGCTCAGCTGCGTTGCTAGCACGCTCTGCTGCGTTGCTAACACGCTCTGCTGCGTTGCTAGCACGCTCTGCTGCGTTGCTAGCACGCTCTGCTGCGTTGGGCCATCTACTTTTACAACACTAGGTTCTAACCTTTTAGATCCACATAATTTGCAAGATTTCAGAGCTACAGCTCCGCCTTGTACCTGCACACAAGCGTGCATACTACCCGAACCGTCTCACGCATCATTTTCTTTGTAGAAGTAGAGTGAATACCACATATGTTTCGCTTTTCCTTTACATTATACCATTCCCCACCCCTCTACCAGGTTTTAACCTTTTGGTTCTATGTAATTCGCCAAATATAGGCATTCCAGTCGTGCATGGTACCTGCACTACAGGCACGCATACCGACCAAACTGACCTGCGCATTATGTATGTTTATAGAGATGAAGTTAGTACCATTTTCTTGCCAGTCTACTAGATTCTAACCTTTTAGATCAACATAATTTGCAATATTTCAGAGCTTCAGCTCCGCCTTGTACCTGCACACAAGCGTGCATACTACCCGAACCGACCCACGTATCATTCTCTCTGTATAGATACAGTCAATTTCACATATATTTTGCTCTTCCTTTACAGTATACCATTCCCCACCCCTCTAATAGGTTCTAAACTCGCCAAAAAAAAAGCATTCTAGTCGTTCATGGTACCTGCACAACAGGCACGCATACCGACCAAACTGACCAGCGCATTACGTATGTTTGTAGAGATGCAGTTAGTACCATTTTCTTGCCAGTCCACTAGATTAGGTTATCTACTTTAACAATACTAGGTTATAACCTTTTAGATCCACATAATTTAAGATATTTCAGAGCTCCAGCTCCGCCTTGTACCTGCACACAAGCGTGCATAGTGACCAAACTGACCCACACATCATTCTCTCTGTATAGATATAGTGAATACC